CAGGATCTCTAGAAGTTGGTTAACACTGGGAAAGTTTTTTTTTTTTTGGGTCTGGGTTTAATTTAACTTTTTCAGAGTACATTTCTATCAGAAAGTAGTCAGGCCTCATTGTCAGGGATGTCTTAAAGGTATTTCCGAACTTGTTTCTTATTCTTCGCTTGACAAGGGCTGTCACCAGGCTCCATCACTCCTAGGCTAACAGTTACCAATAAACAGAGAATTATTTCCCACCAGCTAACACACTGTTTACTTTCCAGAAAAATTGCACTTTCCAATCTGACAGTTGATCAAGGGCGTCCCGCTGCTGTCAGCAGGAAGAAATGTTTAAACACAGAGATGGGAGTTTAAACATTTTCTCATTATCACAGAATAAGAAGAAAAAACACAAATAAATAAATAAGTAAAAGATGGCATCCAGCCTCTCCGGCCCCCTGCTGGGAGCATAATGAAGCTGTGTCATGTGACCAGAAGGAGTGGGCTTTTATCTCTGGCCTCAGTATCTTACTCAAGTGACACCTGTCACATGACCCAACTTAGGTCTTTTATCAGCCTTCCCCAGGCACCCTTTTGGGGAATTGTCTTTTCCAGAGCCTTGTGGCCCTGAGCAGCCATTGTCGTGGGCACTGTTAGAATCTCTTAGATTCCCCAAATGTGTTTAAACATACTAAATGACAAAACTAAAAGAAAACACAAAAGAAGATCTGGTGGAGGGAGGGAGGAACTATTATCATTTTATGTTTCATGTGAGTTTGCAGGGATTGGAGCCTGCCTGCTGAAAGTGATGTCTATATTTTCAAACGTTGGTCATTAGCTTTGAATCTGTTCATTAGAGCATGAGTTCAGACCTTGAAAGCCTAGTGTCTGCATCAGGACCACAGCTAGCCAGGCTCATGGGTTGAACCCAGTCACAGCAGAGGCAGAAGCAGGTGAGGGCACCCTCCCCACCCCGGCCTCACTCTGGAGACTGGGTTTCTTCTAGTCCTCCTGCCTTCCTTCCTTGCATAATTCACTCCTCTGTGTTCTTTCCCTCTCTGTATACGGGTCCCGGAACCACCTGAACTACAGTTACCACAAGCAGCTTTTACAGCGCCTACCTTGCACCGGGCACTGCTTAAAGCAGCTCCAGGGTGGCAGTTTGCTCATAGGCAGCTCCCTGAGAGAGACTGTCATTTGCACTTTACAAAACAGGAGATGAGCAGACATGGTGGCTCATGCCTGCAATCCCAGGGAAGGTTTAAGCAGGAGTATAGCCCCAAACGTGAGGTCAGCCTGTGCTTCACAGAGAGATCTGTCTCGGAAAACAAACGAACGAATGAACAAGAGGAAGTAAAGTTCAGAGAAGCAAAAAGGCCCTTGCACACGCAGTTCGTGGAGCCCCTCGCACGAGCAGTATATGAAGTCCCTTGCATAAGCAGTATGTGAAGTCCCTTGCACAAGCAGTATGTGAAGTCCCTTGCACGAGCAGTACGTGACAGAGCCATATCTGAACAAAAGGGATCCAATTCCGATTCTGCAGCCAGCTTAGCTTGTTAATATCTTCCTAAATTCTATTTTATTATATGTATTTGTATTCTGCCCTCACGCGTGTCTGAGTACCACATGCATGTCTGGTGTTTTCAGAGGCTAGAAGGGGGTGTCAGATGTTCATGGAACTTGTTATAGACAGTTGTAAGCTGCCAGGTGGCTTCCGGGAATCAAACTTGGGTCATCTGGAAGAGCAGTCAATGCTCTTTCTTTCCTGCTAAGCCATCTCTCTAGTTCCCCTATTAATATTTGTGTTTGGGTACCTTTTCCTTTGCTTCTTCCTCATAAGTTATATTCCTTAAGCTTTTCTTTGTTTTTTTTTTCTTTTTGAGAAAAAGTCTCACGATGTAGCCCTGGCTGGCTTAGAACTCTATATAGACCAGGCTCCTTCACACTCAGAGACTTCCTCTGCCTCCTGAGTGCTGGGATTAAAGGCGTGCACCACGACTCCTGGCTCTCTCCAATGCTTTAGGCTTGTTCCCTTAGAACTCTGGGTCCTATCTACTTCTTGTACAATTATCTTAGGAGCCTGATCATGAGTGAGGGACAGTTCTGGATATTTGGTTGAAGAGGAGCTGAAAACTTAGTGAGGCAGGTGCCATACACCCCTAATTCTAGTACTTGGTCTCAGCCGAGGCAGGAGGATCATCAATTGGAGGCAAGTCTGGGCTGCAAAGTGAGACCATGTACAAACAAACAACAAAACCAGAGAATAAAACAAAACATGGTAACCAAGTGCATTCCTTCAAGATATTTATTAAGTAGTTGCCAGGGGAAAGAGAATAGTCTGTCTTGGAAGGTGTGGCCACTAAGAAGTTATCCAGCTGCCAGTGGATTGCCAGTCACACAGGTGGCTGCAGGAAGCTGCCCTGAGAAGTCACATGTGAGCAAAGGCTTGACACAGGCCGGGGAGCTGTCTGTGAGGGTAAGCCGGGTCGGGAGAAGGCCCGGTTCTTTTCCATTAGCCCCTGGTGCTGCCAGCTTCCTTTGGGCTACAAAAGTGCCCCATCTCTCGTGCTAACCAAGCAGGGGACCTCACAGCCCTTCCTACTGCTACTGTGTTTTCTCCGTCCTTTCAGGAGAGAATTTCTAAAAGGGTCTACTTCTGTTTTCTGCTAACGCTCTTCAACCTGTCATGTTTTTCTATAAATGGAGACACCTCCCCTATAAGTTACCAGGGATCAGTAGCCAACATATCATGGCCTTTCATACTTTACTCCGGCTTTTCTTTTAATTTAAAAAAATACACACTTGGGGGATATATATAAACATACCTTTTGTAGTTTCTACATTTTTAAACCTTTGTTTTATTCCGTGTATTTGGGTGCCCACTGTGTGTCTGTTTATCCTGTGTGTACAGTGCCTATGCAGACCAGAGGAGCCCCTGGGACTGGAGTTTCAGACAGTTGTGAGCCGACATGTGGGTGCTGTGAATTGAATCTGTATTTATACTCTGAAAGAGCAGCCAGTGCTCTTACCACAGAGCCATCCTGCAGTCCAGTCACTCCAGCTGAAAACCTTGCTGTACTATCCACACAGTCACAGAATGCTTTCCCTAACTTTCATTGCATGTAAGGACTCTGGTTTTTGCCCCCCCCCACACACACAACACCTCCTCTCGCTACAAATTTCTATCAGCTAATGTTTTGACTATGTTAGTCTATTTTACGTTGCTATAATAAAATGCCTGAGATTGGGTATGTTATAGAGCAAGAGATTTATTTGCCTTACAGTTATGATGGCTACAGGCTTCAAACAGCATGGAGCCAGTGTCTGGGTGGCAACACCCTAGCTGTATTTGTGGGTCCACCTCAGGTCAGAAGGAAACTGAACAATCTAAAGCTTCGTTTAGGAGAGGAGAGATGGCAGTCTGGCCAGTTAGAAGTAAAGAGAAGCATGCATGAAGCAGGGCGTGGTAGCTCATGCTTGTAATCTCATCATTCAGGAGGCTGAGGCAGGAGGAGTGCCGTTGAGTTCCAGGCCAGCTCAGGCTACAGAGTGAGACCACCACCCCTTGTTTAAAATTTTAAAAATCTAAGAATTTTAAGCGGAATGATGTTTAATTCCATTGGAAGCAATCCCTTCTTGTCCCGCTGGGCAGAGGTGCTCCTGGTGTAGCTTGGAAGTAGGGTGTGATCTTAGTGATGCAGACCAGCCTGAGTCCCAAGCCTGAGGACCACTGTGCTGAAGATGCAGAGAAGATAAGAGTGGGTTCCTGTGTTGCTGGCCCACTAATTAAATCCCATTTATTGTCTTAAAATGCTGATTTATTTTATATGAGGAGGGCAGTGCATGCATGCTGTGCACGGCATGTGTGTGGAGGACAATCCATAGGAGTTGGGTCTCTTCTTCCAGCATATGAGTCTTAGGGATTGAACCCTGGTCTTCAGGCTTGCCAGCAAAGGCCTCTAGACATTGAGCTGTCTTCCCAGATCAATTCTGGGCTTTTATGAGAAATGACATGCTTGTGTGCTAGACCACTGAATTCCAGGTTTATGCAGACAGAACCATCCTCCTCTGCATGTCTCTTGTGCAGAGCTGTCTTCTCTTTCAATTGCCTGCCTTGTAGAAACCCTCAGGACAAATTTACCATCATCTTCTGAGCTATCATCGAACCTTATGTGTATTCCATCTAACACTCCATTAGACTATAGGCTACTCCAGGGAAGCATGTATTTTGAGAAGCAGAGAGAGAGAGAGAGACAGACAGACAGAGAGAAAGAGATGCAATGAATCTTTTTCTGTCCCACCAGCCAGCTCCCAAATAATAAAATGGAGACTTCTTTTTTTTTAAAGATTTATTTATTACATATACACCAGATTGAATTGTAGATGGTTGTGAGCCACCATGTGGTTGCTGGGAATTGAACTCAGGACCTCTGGAAGAGCAGTCAGTGCTCTTAACCTCTGAGCCATCTCTCCAGCCCCAAAATGGAGACTTCTTATTACTTATGAAGGCCTATAACTTAGGCTTGCTCCTAACTAACTCATAACTTATTAACTCATTTCTATTAATCTACGTCCTGCCATGTGGTGTTACCTTTCTTCAACCTGGTACCTCCTGTTTTCTCTCTGTGTCTCCTGGGGTCTCCTCTGTGCCTCTACTTCCTCTCTCTGCCCAGAAGTCCCACTTGTACCTCCTGGCAGCTTTGGGCATTTAGATCCTTATTAAACCAATCACAGTGATCTGTCTTCACACAGTGTACAAATATCCCACATCACAGAGAGATACAGTTGGCACACTGGGAAAAGGAACATGAAGGGGGTGCAATGATACCCCCCAGTCCACCTTCAGGATACTGACGTGAGAAAAGATGGCATGTGCTGGGATGTAGCTGCTCAGTGGTGAAGTGCTTGCCTAGCACACGGGACGCACCAATGCTGCATAAACACACACACACACACACACACACACACACACACACACACACACGAGAGAGGGGGGGCAGAGATTCATCATTCTTGTACAGGGTCCATTTTCTTTCATAATCTTCTCTATATTTCAGTTTTAACATATGTGCTGCCAGAACAAGTCTCCTTGAAAAGAATGTTAACTATTTTGTGTTTCTAGTTCTCAGATTGTTGAATGAATCAATAAATAGATTTGGATGAATATTTTTATATCTAGTTAGTTTTGGACTCCCACTTCTGGTAATATCCAGTGACAATACTCACAATACTGATAATAAACCAGTTAACTCAATACTGCATACATCAGATCTTCTCAGTACATGTTGACTCTCTAGAGACAGAGAAGAGTTAGAAGTACAAAATATGAGGCTTGGAGGCTCTGAGGAGATGGACTAAAATAAGAATGGCTTACGAAAGGTATCAAGAGGAACAAAAAGATGTCATGTCACCTTCAGCAAAAGTCCTTCTTGAGTTGTTTGGTTCTAGGGAACCTAATTGCTTGGGATGATAGGTTTCCTTCTCGAAGACAAGCACCATCGCTTTCTCCCAGAGAGCTTACTTTCAAAACAGTGAAAGTTTAAAGAGTAACTCTAAGGTGTTGTTAGATGCATGTCCCTAAAACATTAAGATTTGTTAGTAGGAGACATTATCAACTTTCATAAAAGCCCTGACACTGCCAGTGTTATCCCACAGAACTTCCAAAGGCAATGGAACTGTACGTCATTGGTGGGGGGGGGGCATTAGCCATGTGACTACTGTGCCCCGGAAATGTGAGACTGAAGGGCTGGTGTTTTAGATTTAATCCCTTGAATTGAAGTTTAAGGGCTAAGGATATAGCCTTGCAGTGGTAGAGCACACTCCTAGTATGCACGAGGCCCTAGATTCAATCTCCAGAACCAGCAACAAGGACAAAAAGAAACAAAGAGATAGATCAAAATATATAGCACTTTCAATACCAACGTTGGACAGTGCAGGTCTATGTTTTATGTGCCCAGCTCTGGTCAGGAAATTTTCAGTTACACTTAATAACAATTCCAAGATATTAGTGGCTTAAAGTGGTATAGAGGTTGGTTGGTTTTATTTGAATGTTGTGGGGGTTGTCTGAATGTGTGAGTGCAAGTATCCTCTGAGGTCAAAGCCGGGGTTCCAAGTGGTTGTGAGATGCCTGGTGTGGGTGTTTGAAACTACTAGAAACTGAACTTGGGTCCTCTGCAAGAGCAGTGTGGGCTTTTACCCGCTCACCTATCCTCCAGTCCAAGTAAAAAGTTTTATGTCTCTCTCCCACTGTGTATGTGATTTGGTAACTCTGTCCTATATTTCCCCATCCATGGCTCATTTTGAGTGCTTCTGGCCCGTGTAACCCAAACAAAAAAACAAAGCAAACCTAGAGAACCTTGCCCTCTTATCCAGGAAAGGCTTGGCCCAGAGATGACACTGACCACTCCCTCCCACAAGCTGTTGGTGGAACAAATCATGCTGTCCTCCCCATGGCAGGAAGTACCTACGATCCAGAAACAGAACTTCTAAAGGAACAATACTAATGGCTAAATGTTACTAATCAAATGGAGTACAAGTAACTATGTTTTTAAAAGCTAAGTGCATCTCTAGCAATGGTCTCGACAAAAACTATGGGAGGAAAAATGCACAAGCAGCAGGAAAGCTCATTTTACAAAATCAAGGAGTGAAGGGAAAGTTGATGTTTTTAGAGCTGCACAATAATTTTTATTAATCTTTTTATTAAAGGAGGAAAAAGCACAAACATAGTTTATTTTCCTCTTAGAATTAAAGAGGGTAATTTTTGTTTTTGTTTTGTTTTTCAAAGCTGGATTTCTCTGTGTAGCCTTGGCCAATCTGGAACTCACTGCCTCAAACTTAGATTAGCCTGCTTCTTGCCTTCTGAGTGCTGGGATTAAAGGCATTCACAACCACCACCTAGCTGAAGAGCATAAATTTGTTAAGTTAATTTAAAAAATGCTTTCATAGAAAATTGTAGTCAGAGTTTCTGTTCTCCCTGGTCCCGCTGCCCTTCAGTCCCAAATAAACATACAGAGACTTATATTAAATCTAAACTGTTTGGCCAATGGCTTAGGCTTCTTACTAGCTAACTCTCTCTTAATTGTTAACCCATTTCTATTAAGCTATGTACTGCTACAAGGCTGAGGGTTACCCCTAATCCAGCATGTTACTCCTTAGGCAGCATGGTGTCTCCTTTGCTGCCTCTCTGTGTCCTCTCCCCAGAATTCTCATCTCCTGGCCTCATCTGCTTGGCTACTGGCCAATCAGTGTTTTATTCATCAACCAATAAGAGAAACATATATACAGAAGGACATTCCCCATCAGAAAATAAAACAATTCCACCTATTTTTGCAGCAACAGGATCTTATAGAAACACACCCCCCCCCGCCCCCGTGCGATCTGTCACAGCTCTTCAGGGGTCATGCTCAAGAATCTGAAAGACTAGCTGTTCTAACTTCCAACTAGGAATCTTGGCTGTCACTCTCCGCATCATCCAGGAGGCAGAGGAGGTCACCACTCTGGTGGGGACTCAGTCTGTGTTCATGGGCAGGTAAGTCAGCTGAGGGCCCTCAGTCCTTGTTCATGGGTTGGTAAGTCAGCTGAGGGCCCTCAGTCCATGTTCGTGGGTTGGTGTGTCTTCCTGAGTCTCCCAAAGCAGCAGCAGTCTGTGCCAACCACGCAGTGGCCCAGCATCCAACCAGCTCCTTTGCTTTGGGACAGCCTACCCCCGGAAGGAGTGTCTCTGGCTTTCTCTTACAGCTGTTCCTCCATGTGGCTTGTCCTGGTAGCATGCAGCAGAATTGGAGGTGTGGTGGGGAAAGCCCAGGCTTTGGGGACAGAGTTTGTGCATCAAATCCTAGCTACTTATACCTGATTCTCCGTAAACTCTACCATGTCTTAGTATTGTTAAGAAGATTATGGAAGATTATATCTGCAAACTAATAGGTGCACAGAACACATCTGTTTCACATGATGCTTCCTTTAGGGTGTTGTATGTGATACGTGGAGTTTCCTCATTTAAATGTGCCCAGATCAGAGCATAAGCTGCTCCTTCTTCTTGTGGGGCATCGTCTTGTCTTAGGTTGATAGATTATATAATTAATTCACCTTGTACTTACAAGAACCACTTTCCACTAAGTCATAGCCTTACTTAAGTTGGAGGCATTTTAAGGCCAATGTGTAAGAATTTAAATGGGATTAAAAACTGCTAGGTATAAGTATTGTTTTGACTTGCTGCTGAGTTCTCTGAGTCATGATCCAACCTGAAACATCAGTTGCCTCTTCAACAGTAGAACAGTCTACAAGTCTGATAGAGCTGTGCTTACAAGAAAGACCTCAGACGCTCGATACAGTTAGACCCCAGCTTCGCACTTGAACTCCGGCAGCTGCCTTAGAGAAATTACTCAAGTGCCGAGTCTCAGTTTCCATGTATACAGCAGAATAATAATAGTGCCCCCCCCAGTGAGTTGTATGAGTAAGTTATGTATTTTCTCTGATTTATTCAAGCAATCAACAAAAATCCTTGACCAGAACAGGACTGACGTCTGAATCCTTTACCATACCACACAACTGGCATTTCCCCTAGGTTGAATAAGATCTGTTCTTTGCACACATATTCTGCCAGCCCCGTCCAGCCCACACTGTTTCATCTTGCAGGTGCGGTGGGCAGACTTTGTCCAGTTGCTTGCTAATATACACAAAGGCAGCTTTTTTGGGGGTCTATCTGCATGTATTTTTTTCCTTTCTTTCATCTCAGACACTGGTTGGACAGTTACCATTTTAAAATTCTCTCTTAATTGGTTCCTTCTTCTAAAGGATACATTGTGGTCTCTGGTTTCTAGGCTACTATATTTCATGAGATGTCTCCTTGATGAAGTAATTTGAGTTTTCCAGGCATCCTCAGGAGGCACAAGTGTCAGCAGTGTCTCCTGCTGAGGGTGCTGTATGTGCACGTATGTCTTGTGATGCCACAGAGCTTGAGTTACATCTCTGGAACTCTAGTGTCTGCACCATCAGTGGAAGCTTAGGTTCCTCATTGCTTTTGCCATCACTGCAGACAATTAGGACTCGGTAGCAGGTGATAGACTGAAACTCAACTCTAGCTAGCAGCTCAGTGTGGCCTCCTAAAATCTGGGAGGACTAAAGTAGTGATGCATCCCGATAGCCAGTCAAGAAGGGAGAAACACATCCCTGGGGATCATCACAAATAGTCCCAAGCAAGTCTATCCGTTGACAACTTTATCCAAGAGACCACCTTCCTTGGAGACCTCTCTAAGCTACACTAATCCTCCCCTGTCACGGAAGTCTTTGGGTTGGGAGGAGTTACAAGGAAAACAAGTGTGGCAGGCCTCAGCAAGCACCAGCTCCGGCTCCAGAATTTTCCAGATGCCTGTCTCTCAATCTATCCTGTAAAGAAATGGAACTGTTGGCCCAGGGAATTTTCCAAATGGTTGAAACTGTTCTGAAGGACTCTTCTCACGCCACAGGCTCACGGCTGTTTGTTTAGGTAACAATAGCAGCAATAGCCTTCCATTGCATTCTCTTCATGTATTATATCTTTGCCTTGAACATCATATTTTAAATATCCCAGGTGACAGGAGAGAGAATAAAGACCTCCGGTCTGGAATGGAATAGGGCACGAAGCTTCGCAGTAAGCTGACACAACCAAACAGTCCTAAAAGGGAACCAAGAATAAACAAAATGAAAAGGAGTGAGAGAGTACAGATTGAGTAAAGAAAACTTGTTAAGCACTGCTGCAGTTACTGATGGAACTCCATATTTTGGTTTCTTAAAAGGTAATAAAAAAGGATTACATCATCTTAAAATAGTCATTAAAATTTTATTTATTGTTACACACGTGGGTTGTTATGTGTGTTTTGCCTGCTGGTATGTCTGTGTACCATGAAGAAGGTGCTGCATTCTCTGGGACTGGAGTGACAGGTGGTTGTAGCACCTCTGGGTGCTGGGTATTCAACCTGACCGTGTGAGAGAGCAGCCAGTGCTCTTAAGCACTGACCATTTCTCCAGCCACAAAAGGTACCCCCACAGTGTGGTGGTGTAACCTTTAACCCCAGCAGATGGGAGGCAGAGGCAGGTGGATCTCTGTGTGTTCCAGACAAGGCTACAGAGTGAGACCTATCAATAAATATTTTGAATTGTCCCACTTTACAACTCACAGCTGAAACTCACTACATCGGGGGGTGAGGGGAGGGGGGAGCCACTGCAAGTTTTAAAGTGACGCACGAGAAGCGCGGGGACAGTGGCCGTGATGACTGGCAAGCGGAGCTCTTCAGTTCCTCTCTCCTTCCTCGTGGACATCGGTGTCTATTTAAAAGTCCCAAGTGGATATTTTTGTGGATCTACCAGGAATCTTCATTCTGAGGAACCACTGCTGGTTCCCAAGTCCTAATGCCCCAATTTACATTTGACTGTTCTGAAAAGTGAATTTTTTTTAGCATAAATCCAATCCAGGGGAGAAGATCTGTAGGCCTCCGGTGTCCATGTGATCACAGATCTTACTCTCTTTAGCTCTAGTGCTCTCCAGTGTTACAGATCCCACACCGTCTTTTAAACGCTGTAATTGCTCTAGCTTTACCCAGTCGTGGTTCAACCGGCTTAGGGATATGGCATAGTCATTCCAGTAGAGGCTAACCCTGCCTCCTCCCTCCCACTGCTGCCAGAATTGAGTTTCCATTGTGACCGTTGTGTCTCCAGATAGTAGTTCCTTGTGAAAGCTCCGTGTAGGTCAGAAAGCCTCAGAGGGGTGGGGTTCGCTCCCTCCCTTCTGGCTGCTTAAGTAGGACAAACCTGGGGGTGGAGAGACAGCTCAGTGGTGAAGTGAAGAGTCCTTGCTGCTCTTGCAGAGGCTCCAGGCTCTGTTCCCAGCACCCACATGCTGCCTCACAACTGTCTGCCACTGCAGTCTAGGAATCCAATGCCTTTTTCTGGCCTCCTCAGGTACCAGACTTTGCATGTGGTGCAAATATATACAGGAGACCGTACACTCATAGCAAACAAAATTTAAATAATTTTTTTTTGAGGCAGGGTTTCACTGTGTAACAGCTCTGGCTGTCCTGGAATTGGTTCTGTAGACCAGGCTGACCTCGAACTCACAGAGAGCCACCTGCCTCTGTCTCCTGAGTGCTGGGATTAAAGGCATGTGCTGCCACCATGTGACTTTTTTGGGGGGGGCGGGGTGTTAAAATTTAAATAATTTTTAAAAAGTAGGATGAGTCTGTAACAACAATAGAAATAATAGTAGCACTCAGGTCGACAGGCATTCGAGGCCGTTCTCATTGTTCTTATCTTTGACAGAGTGTTCGTGTAGCACACGCTGGGCCGTGGGTTCAGTCTTCAGTTCAAGAGGGAATGGCCTCTTGGATAGCTGTGTGAGGGACCACCTTTCACTTCAGGGATTGTGGTTTGAGTTCATCCTGCTCTCAACTAGGTAGTCTGAAATGGCACAAGTGAACAAAACAAAACAAAACAAACCCCAAAAACCTCTCTGCCCTAGAACATGTTTTGCATGGGTAACACCATGATTACATTGCTAATTCTAATTCCCATTGTGCATTGTCAAGATACAAACCTAGGTGTTTCATAAAATGCTCTGGGGGAACAGCTATAATTATAAATGTTCTCTGAAGACAAATTATTGCTGAAGAGCCAGAAAGCAGACCTCCTTGATGCACAGACACCCTTAAATCATTACAGTCAGAAATAGAGATCCAAGGGAAAGTCACAAAGAACTGGGGTGCACACACCAGGGCTATGCCAGTGGTTTGCACCCAGGAGACACGGCCAACCTGCGGTTGCCAACCGGGTGGCCCAACCACAGAATAGTTATTATGGCTTGGAATCAGGCCAGGGACACCTAAAGGACTGCACGTGGTTTCCCTTTAACTCTCTCTAGATTACTGTCCCTTGCACTTAAGGCAGAGACTTAGTATAGGAAGTGCTCCCCAGACACAGAGGGGTGTCTGTTCTTGGCTTTGGGGGTGTCCTGCCAGGCTTCTGTGCGTGCCAGCAGACCCCTTTCAGGCTACGGTGGATCTGGGAAAATCATCATAGTACCTTTCACTCCTTGAGATTGCCTGAGAAGATTCACCACAGGATGAAGAAAGGAGCAGGGCCACTTCAGCACCTGATATCCCACACCCCAGGAAACCTCTCAGGCTTTGGGGAAAGGGGGCTGCTGGTCACTGTGAGCCCTGACATGTCTTGCCAGCTAACAGAAAGGGCTACCTAGCTAAGGCAAACGGCGTCACTGAAGCACTGTTCCACCAGTGTTGGTAGAAATCCTCACAGGCTGTCACTCAGGAGCCTACTACAGCTCCAGGAGTGGAAGTAGCAGCCTCGGGCATCCTCACCTCTTCCCCAGCGTAGGAAATGGAGTTCTGAAGAGGCTGTCCTAGGAGTGGTAGACCCAGGCCAGAGGTGAACAGTCTTCCCTCCAGCAGTGGTCACGTGTTGGTTCTGGGACCACTTACTTACCTGCAAAGATCTGGATGACCCCACCTTTTCTTTTCACCAACATTTGTTAAACCCAGCGAGGTAGTGACTTTTCCTGTAGGAGGCTGAAAGGTCACACATTTCTGGCTTTAGCTTCACTCCTGAAACTGCAAACAAAGACTCTTCTGTAGGGAAGAAAAGAGAAAAGCACCAATATATTATTTCTCGAGATCTTTCACAGTACATATATGTTGTCTGCTTGTTGTAGCATCTGTTACCCAAAGAGATGTCAAAAAAGGCAGACTTAATAATAATTTATACCGTCTCAGGGGTGACTTACTTTACCAAATCTTTAATAGTTGTCAAGGGCTCCCTGTTTAATTCAGTTCAGTGCATGTCTGCCAAATGAACACCAGTGGGTGACATTGGGGAAGGATCTGGAACCCATGGTGAAGAGTTAGAAGGTCATACCAAGGAGTCTAGACTGCAGTCCCAACGTGGCAGTCCAAGAGCATCACGTGGGGCTGAATACACTGTGGAAGGTTAAAATACTGTCCGATAATATTAGTCTCTCAACCTGTGGCAGTTTGCAGTTCCAGAGACACCTGTGTTTATTACACACCCACTGTCTGTGAGTGTGCTCAGTAGAGTGATGGGCCAAGGTCTTCAGTTAAGGGGCTCAATTTCATGAGGGGAAAACAAAACTTCCCAGCAGATTACTATGAGTTAAAAAACGTGAACACACACAAGGCGCCTTCCACAGTTCCCAACAAAGGAGCCTCGGGTCAGCAAGCATGTGACAGTACTTGCCTACAGAATCCTTGCTTTCTTTTCTAGGCTAACCGTCTGCAGGAACCCGGGTTGCTCCAAATAGCTCAATATGTATGAAAGACAGAGATCCTGTGTTTAGAACACCAAAGGCACATAATGTCTTAATGATACTCCTTGCTTGGAGCTGTTCACACCCAACAAGAAGAAAGAAGACGTGCCATCGGCCCTGCCTTGTTTGGCCTGGACTTCTCTGCTTCGATGCTGTGGGAAATCTGTGTTCCTGACATCTTTGGTTTGGAATTATAGGTTTGCCAGGCTGGAATGGGGAGAAGGATACGTTTTTGCTGATCCCAGTAAGACATTTGTCACAGGGATGCTAGCATATGCCCTGTGTACTCTCCTTTAGCTCACAACATAGCATAAACAGTTAAATGGCTAAAGTGAACAGTGTGTACTCTTTACAGACAACACTGTAAATTTAAATACAAGCTGATTTAAGAGTTTGTCTCTACGAGAAATCTCATCAGACCTGGGAGACTGTGGCATGAAAAGCTTGGGTTTCCCTGAAGCTTCTTTGCCCCTCAAAAGTAGGGAGGGGGATGCAGGGGGAGGGGGAGAGGAGGGGGGAAGGGTAGGGAAAGAAGGAGAGGAGAGGGGAGGAAGAAGGAGAGAGAGAGAGAGAGAGAGAGAGAGAGAGAGAGAGAGAGAGAGAGAGAGAGAGAGAGAGAGAGTCTAATCAAAAGATTCAAGTTGGCCTTGGTTACTGCCAGACTCCGTCCTCACTCACCGTAAAAGAAAGCAGGAAGAAAAAGACAGGAAGGGAAGGGAGAAGAGGGGAAGGCAGCAGACGGCTCTCTCTCAGTGATCTCGGCAAGGAAAGCCCTTCCACTCCCGTGACTGCTCATTAGCTTAGGGAATCTGACAGTGTAATTATCGCAGCTGCTTTGCGCTTAGAATAAATAAATATGAAAGTGGGTGCTCAGAAGTTTCTGAGAAGGAAATTCAGTCATCTAGACTGTCGGGGAGACAAGTTTACTTAAAACTTTTAGATTCTTATGTGTTTGGATCACTTCAGAGGAGATAATGAGATAGTTGCCTCTCAGTCTAATTGAGTCCCCCAGCTCCTGGCAGCCGGCTGTCACCCCTTTCAGACCCCGCTTTGACTCTCTTCCTTAGAAATCGGATCCCAGAGTCTCCGTTTACTCTCCCCACGCTGATAACCTGGGGAAGGCCGGTGCACTGGAGTGCAGAAAGTGACTTAATGGGATTGGGCCTGAATAGCCTTCACAGGAAACAAGATAATCAAATCTCCCTTGTCGGACTGGCTAAAGGAGAGAGCCCGATTACAAAGAGCTTGGAAATTAAACCAGCCTTGCAAAATGTCCTGCTCTTCCCCCATCACGTGGACCCTGTACAATTCATACACATCACCCGTCCATCTGCTAAAACTGCTAACTGTGTGCGGTTATTCAGAGCACACCCTTCTGCACGAGAAGGCCAAAGTCTAGCTCATGGGTGTGCAGGGCAGCTTCATATCTTCAAAGCCCAAGGGTCACAGAGCAACTTAAATGGGAGTTGCTAACTAACTCGGAGTGCACTTAGCACTCAGACTCGGGCAAGGCACACACACACACATCTCCCATCAAAGCAGATAATCTTTCCTTTTAAAGTTAATTAGTGCCCATTTGTCTTTCTCCATCTTGCCTCTCCCAGAACCACACTTCCACAAACCCTTGTATTCAGTGAGCCCAAGGTTTCGTAACTATTCAGGATAAAAATGAGCCTAGTGTTAACCGACTGTGCAGGTATTCAAATCAAGGCTTATGAAGGCCAGTGATGCATCTGGTTTTGGGGAAAGGGGGAAAAAAGAACAAGAAAACATTGGCCTTTAATTCTCAGCCCTGAGCTCAGAACCCTTGTGCCACTTTGGTCTAACTTATTCTTCAAACAAGAATATGATACCACCAACATTAAAAAAAATTCTGAAAAGGAGGGGAAATGATCTAGAACCTTTTTATTCTCTATTTTAACTTTTGGTTTTGTTCATATGCAAATAGCTTTCATAAGTAGAGTAAAATGTGCCATTTTGTATTCCTGGTTTTGGTTTTTGAGTCAGTGTCTCACTGTGTATTTTTGGATGGTCTGAAATTTGCTATGTAGGCCAGGCTGGCCTTGAACTCACGGAGAACCACTGACTCTGTCTTCTGAGTGCTTGAGTCAAAGGCATTTGCAACCATGCCAACTGGCTTTTCTCTTTTTCCTTTTCCTCCTTCTCCTCTTTCTTCTCTACCCGTCTCTCCCTCTCTCCCTTCCGTTTTGAAAGATGGCATTGCTATATGGCCCAGGTTGCCCCCAAATGCACAGTCTGCCTCTCGATGCGGGATTGAGGATGCACACCCTCAGGCCCACTTTCCTGGTTTTGTGTATCTTATGTCCTACAGAAGTGCTCCCACCACACTGCGCGCTCCTGTGAGCAGTTTTAAATGGCATACAGCACTGTGTACCCGTCAAACACATCAGCGTTTATTCAATCAGTTCTCCAGTGCTTAGTACTTAAACTGTCTATTCTTTCTTTGTAACTTTTAAACCATCATATAGACCACATTTTCACTCATCTAGGTTTGTAGGTTTGTGTTTGATTTTTGAGACAGGGTTTCTCTCTGTAGCCCTGGCTGCCCTGGAACTCTCTCTGTAGACTAGGCTGACCTCGAACTCAGAGATCCACTTATCTGGGCCTCCCAAGTGCTGGGATTAAAGGTGTGTGCAACTAACTGCTTGGCTTGTTTGGTTATTTTTTTTAAGCTACTCAACTGTGTAGCCAGGTAATTTCAGGGATAAAAGTATCTCCATTATGAGGGTTTTGTGTAGCTCCCGATACATAGTGTTGGTTGGATCTGATATTGATGAAAGCCACAGTCACCAATTTACGCTCCCATCAACAGAGAATCATTTGATTGCCACATCACCTTCTCTGGGAGTCACTGGGCGAAAGGAAAACAGAACGAAACAACCTCTAACCTAACAGTTGTTTGGTTTTGTCTACCCCCACAAAAACTGTCCTCCACATGGCCGTGTGCTGTTTCTGCTTCCTCTGGAGTAAATTGCTATTTTATTTCTCCTATTTTCATCTGCTGCTTATTTTTCTTGCAAAAACAGTTATAGAGTGAAGCAAGAGCAGTAACCATTCCTGAGTAAGAGATCTTAAGACCCCAGGGTGAGCCGGGCGTTGGTGAAGCACGCCTTTAATCCCAGCACTCGGGAGGCAGAGGCAGGTGGATCTCTGTGAGTTCGAGGCTGGGCTGGTCTACAGAGCGAGTTCCAGGACAGCCTCCAAGACAATACAGAGAAACCCTGTCTCGAAAAACAAAAAAACAAAAAAACAAACAAAAAAAGACCCCAGGGTGTTTGTAGATGCTATCATAAAAGGAAACAGTGAGTAAAATAGCAGATACTGGGACCTCACTGCTCAGGGGAAGGTGGCACTGTGAGTGTAATAATTCCAGCCTAGGTTGAATGAAGACGGTAGAAGCTGTGACGTATCGGCCTCAAGATCCTGCCAGGGCTACTCAACGCTAGAATGGCACTGAAGAATCTTGAGGGACATGACAGGTAGGGACACAGCTTAGTAAACAGTGCTTGCTGAGCGTGTTCCAGCTCCTTATAAACCATGTGTGGTACACCTGCCTGTATTTGGAAGATCGGAAGTTCAAGGTCATTCTTACACAGTAAATTCAAGGTTAGCCTGGGGTACATATGACCCTGCACTCCACCCATAAAATTTTACCCCATTTTGCTCCTTTGATTGCCTTGGTCCTAACCACTAAGATTCATCATCTTTTTTTTTTAGGGTTTGTATGGGTGTGCATGTGATGTGTGCGTGTGTGTATGTATATATGTGTGATATATGTGTGTGATGTGCATATCTGTGTATGTGCATGTGTGATGGGGATGTCCTTCTGTATATATGTTTCTCTTATTGGTTGATTAATAAAACACTGTTTGGTCAATAGAGGTAGGAAGATAGGAGGGACTAGGAGATGAGGAGAATTCTGGGAAAGATAGGCAGAGAGAGACCATGAAGAAACACCAGGAGGTAGAGACCAGGAGGATAGGACATGCCAGGCATTTTCTGGTAAGATAAGGCCATGTAGAAACACATAGATTAGTAGTTATGGGTTAATAATTAAAGACAGAGATAAGAAGCCCTAGTCATTGGCCAACACTTTTATAATTAATATAGTGTCCATGTGTTTATTTGGAGTTGAAGCAGCTGTGGGACCAGGCTGACAGAAACTGCAGCAACACATGTGTATGTGTATGTGTAATGTGTACCTGTGTGTATCTGTGTGTGTGTGTGTGTTTGGCATGCCCATGTGTACACACACAGAAGCCAGTGAAGGATGCTCGGTGTCCT